ATATAGACTGTTTCTGGGGGGGGGCAGTACCCAATTTATATACTTGGATCCCTAGGGTAAGCCTTGCCTAAAACCTTGGAACTTGTTCCCCCCGTCACCAAACTTTATTCGTTACAGCGATTGGAAGGACCGCAAAATCAGTGGTTTGTTTTGCGTGTGCCTAGTGAAAGCATAGCAAATTTGATCAGCCATCTGCCTTAGATGAGCAACGTGAAGCGGTACTTCGAGCAACGGATCAAGGCGCGTGGTTCAGTGCAGACGTTATCACCTCCCCCTACCCCTCCGTCAATTCATGGTGTTACTGCTCTGCGAATGTTGATTCATCGGGGGCGCAGAGCATTTTAGATATTGAGTGCCAGGAGGTGCTTTAGGGTCACTGAAAAATACTTTGCACAATTCTTGAAGCGAGGGGGAAAGTTGTCTGATATATGTGTGGATCCCATCTGGGTCTTTCTCTAGCAGAAGCATGTGGGCTGGAGATGTACGGGACCCTAAGTCAAGTTGGAGAAGTTGCCAGAAAGCCAGGCCTGTTTCGGGGATTACGCAGCCCCCGTAGGCCTTCAGTGCATTCCAAAGCATGCTAATAAGGTACCTCTACAAATTCTACCACAAACCTCAGGTCCTTAGAATTCCGTAGGCCAAGCTTGCAGGCCTTGGCGTGAGACGGCAGATGCTACAGGGATCCCTAAATCCTGCGGAAACCGCCAAAAGCAACATAGAACTCAAAGTACAAAAACTATAACCAGAACCCCCAAACGCCCCAAATAGAATTGCTGTGACTAGGGCTTGGGGTTTAAGGTAGTATGCAGTAGTGTTCTCATTATAACAGTGTTGCAATGGTTTTCATTACTGTATCAGTACTATTATCATGACTATACTAACATCTGCTATCATTGTTACACTTTTTGTAGAATTGTTGTAGTTACTGGGTATCTTGGCCACAGGATGCCCGGCAACTGGGCACTGGCTTCTTTCTGACCGCCGGCTGCCCAACATCATGGGTTCTTTGGAGGGTTAAGGGTTTAGGGTTCAGAACTTCGGGCCTTAACCCTGAACCCTCTTTGCAGGGTTTGCAAGTAAGAGCTTTGGGTTTAGGGCTCATGGCTTAGGCTTCAGGACGGTGCAGGTTGTGTTGCTGAAAAGAAGGTATTGTAGGACGGGTACGTATATGGTTTAGGGACTGTGGTAATAGTGGAAAATCAAATTCGAAAGAAAATGCAAAATTATCGAACACGCGGTCATTTTATGAGGAAATTACATTGTCATTCCTAGGTCATCCTCTCATAGCTATCATGTAATCTACCGATTCTGAGCTAAGAAGGACCCCTACATCATCGACCTGCACTCGCGTCTAGTGTTGGGATGCAGGTGTTCTGTTTCTTCGGGTCCAATTTGGGACGTTCATGGATAGTTACAAGTAGGGTTGTAAGTACACCCAAGCAAACAAGTGACTGTAGCTATCCTGCTGGTGGCCCTCCTTATGTGTAACTACCCAAGAACCTCCAAGCGCAGTGGTTTTGACCCTGTGTTGGGCAAGTATAAACATCCTTTGGATTGAAATCCTTTCTTGTTGCGTCTTTCTAGTCAGAACTCTAATGCTTTGTGGTGGGTACAGTGACTGCAAATTTGGTACATGGTCGTTTGACTACGCAAGGCTCCAATGCAGTTCTTCCCTCGCTAGGATAATCGGATCCCTGTCATCAAACACATAGCTAGCGTACAGAGGAACTGCATCCATTGGGTAGTTGTGAAGACCATGCTGTCGGTGACGCAGCTGGGGTTGCTCTGGCTTGAGCTTTCCTGGAGAGCCGCAACTGCGATGACATTGAAAATTGGCCCCGCTGTCTACCCTAAGACCCGAGGGCCCTAGGGTTCTGTTGTAGTTCATTTCGGGGTAGAATACTATAACTCCTTTGCCAGAAGCAGATCACACATAAAAAAGAGACCAGATAGGAGCCTGTAGGTAGAGACCATGAAGCTGGGTTGCTGTGAAGGAACTTAAATTAAGTTACTATATTGGGGAAACCCTATTCTTTACTATATATACCCATTATGGTAACCCTAAACCCTAAACCCCTATATACCCATTATGGTAACTTAATTTAAGTTCCTTAACAGCAACCCAGTAACCTGCGACCCAGGAGTCTTGCTGCGAGACTTTCTTCCATCATATTGCGCCCGTTGCAGAATCTTTGGGTCTGCGCCTGGCTCCTCATTTAGGGGTTTAGGGTTTAAGGGTGCAAGGACACAAAAAATGGGGCATTAGGGCCCAAATACCAATAATATTATAGTATTTGAACCTTAAAACCCTATTAGTTGGGTCCTTGGACCCTTAGGGTGGGACAGGGCTTAAGAGATCTGTGTTTGGAATCTATGCAGTTGGGCTTCATGTTTAAGATTGTACTTTGAGGTTTAGTTCTGTGTTTTTTCAGCTCAGTGCTTTGGGCATGGCGTTTCCAGTGGCATGGCATATAGTGTGGTTTGCAAACATAGCGTTGAAAAGCTTATCACGTGACTCCTTCGATGTCATGTTTCTTTGCGTGCTTCTGATTATCCTACATAGCCTTACTATTCCTTCCAAGGGCGAATCCAAAAGCACGATTCCACTTATGCATCGTTTGGTGTTGCACAGATGATCCACCGTCTACATCTTTGAAAGTCAACCCCAACCCCAAAAGATCCATGTACTGTAGAAGCTTGAATTTTGACCGACACTTCCCCTGCTTCTCGCAACGCTTATATAGCCGCGGTATAACATACCCAAAGTCCTGCGCATTCTCATCAACTTGCTACAGTCCTACCGCATGTAAACAGACCCTACATTATCCAAAAACACGCACCCCCCAATCTAAGGTGAAGACCCATATGAGCCCTTTGAAAAACGGTGGTTCTTATAAGACTTTGTGGATCCCATCGCTTTACTTTGGACATGCTAGGTACCTTACCCAAACGAACCAAATACCTACATGATATATAACCGAAAGCACAAGAGCTTCCCATATGAGTACGTTTTTGGCCCTATACTGTAAGCCCTGGAGCCCACCCAGAACCTGACCAATAAACTTCACATCCTACCCCCCAGACCCTGAACCCTTAACTCTAAACCCTAAACTGTAAACTGAAAAAAACCTAAGCCCTAAACCCTAGACCCTGAACCCTTAACTCTAAACCCTAAACCCTAAACCCTAAACTAAAAAACCTAAGCCCTGAACCCACACACTTTTTTCGTTGGAGCGCCTGAGGAGCTGGATCCACTGGGAGTGGAAGCCGTTCTTCAGAGAATCGGCCGTCGCTTCGGCTGCAGTCTTAGGATACAAGCCCCTACCCAGGCCCTCCTAGGGTTTAGGGTTTAGGGTTTAGGGTTATGTAGTTCCTTTTTGGGTTTGTTATAGTTTTTGGGTAAAGGATTATGATATACTACCCAAAAAGGAACTACATAGGAGGGTCTGGGTAAACCCTAGACCTAAATCCAAAAACTCCTGGGGTTTAGGGTTTAGCAGTCTTAGGATACAAGCCCCCTAAACCCTAGACCTAAACCCGTAACCCCTAAACCCCAGACCCATACGGTTTAGGGGTTTAGGGTTTAGGGATTAGGGGTTCCGGGTTCGGTGTTCAAGGCCTAATGAGGAGGAACAGGTTGTGGAAGTCCGCCCGGGCTCTGAAAAAAGGGTGTTGTTCAAAAGCATTCCAAAATACGCCCGCCAGATGGCTACAGGCGCAGCTGCCACTTGCTGAGTTCAGTTTCCGATCCGCTAACTGAATTCAAATCCTCACACCCGCAAACAAGACTCCCGCTAAACGTTAGTTGGCCCAAATTGGAGGCCCCGCCCCCAAAGCCATTAAAGTCTCAAGTCTTAGCACTGATAAGCTGGAAGGCCATCCCACCAAACCTTTCCTGTAAGGCAAACTCTTTCAATAACCTCGAAGACCCTTCGCCACTCACCCAGAAAGCCCAATACTCCTTAATTAAGGCATATAGCCTAAATGATACTAGGGAGCCCAATACCATTTAGGGTATTTTCTTTAATTAAGGGATATTGGGCTCTCTGGGTAGACATTTGTCTTAAACTCCACCCCAGGGCCCATATGTATTTTCAGCTTTGGATGATCTACTACGATCCCTGAGCAAATAGGCCAAGCCGTAAAAGGAGCCTTTGGGGAAACCCTGCCGTCCCTAAACCACGAACTCTATGAACCCTAAGTCCTATGAGACAACCTCATCCCTTGCAACACCTGAAAACCTAGACCCTAGACCCTAAACGCTAGACCTCGAATCCTGCAGGAAACTCAAAATTCTTCACACCAGAATGCAGCCTTTGGCGCCGATAAGACCGGCTGCGGAGGTCGTGGTGCGAACTGTTTCCCTAGGATCTGGTATTAGGTTCTTCGAAAAGTTTGGGCCAAAAAAAGTTGCCTTCCTCAGGTAGAGGTTGCTGGAGGCCCTAGTGTCTACGTAAAGGCATGCATGCCTTTGAGCCTGAAGATTTCCTCATCAGAACCCTGTGACAAGGGACCCAGACTTCAGAAGACTCTGCTTGTCTGTGGATAACTGGCCTTCGGTTGACTGGGAATGAAG